TTAAGAATGACAGTAAGAAAAAAATAAAGAAAGAAAGAAAGAATGACAGAAAGAATTACAGTAAGAAAGAAAGAAAGAAAGAAAGAAAGAAAGAATGACATAAAGAATGACAGTAAGAAAAAAGAAAGAATGACAGTAAGAAAGAAAGAAAGAAAGAAAGAAAGAAAGAAAGAATGACATAAAGAATGACAGTAAGAAAAAAGAAAGAATGACAGTAAGAAAGAAAGAAAGGAAGAAAGAATGACATAAAGAATGACAGTAAGAAAAAAAAAAAAAAAGAAAGAATGACAGTAAGAAAAAAATAAAGAAAGAAAAAAGAAAGAAAGGAAGAAAGAATGAAAGTAAGAAAAAGAAAGAAAAGAATGAAAGAAAAGAATGACAATTAGAAAGAAAGAAAGAAAGAAAGAAAAAGAAAAGAAAGAAAAAGGTAGAAAGAATGACATAAAAGAATGACAGAAAGAAAAAAAAAGAAAGAAAGAAAGAAAGAATGACAGTAAGAAAGAAAGAAAGAAAGAAAAGAAAGGAAAAAAAATGACATAAAGAATGACAGTAAGAAGAGAAAAAAAAAAGAAAAGAAAGGAAGAAAGGAAGAAAGAATGACATAAATAATGACAGTAAGAAAAAAAGAAAGAAAGAAAGGAAGAAAGGAAGAAAGAATGACATAAAGAATGACAGTAAGAAAAAAAGAAAGAAAGAAAGGAAGAAAGGAAGAAAGAATGACATAAAGAATGACAGTAAGAAAAAAAGAAAGAAAGAAAGAATGACAGTAAGAAAAATTAAGAAGAAAAGAAAGGAAGAAAGGAAGAAAGAATGAAAGTAAGAAAAAAGAAAGAAAGAATGACAGAAAGAATGACAATTAGAAAGAAAGAAAGACAGAAAGAAAGAAAGGAAGAAAGGTAGAAAGAATGACATAAAGAATGACAGTAAGAAAAAAAGAAAGAAAGGGACGACGGAGAAAAAGAAATCAAAATTAAAAAAAGAAGAAATAAAGAAATAAAAAAGACGAAATAAATGAATAAAGAAAGAAAGAAAGAAAGAAAGAAGAGATGATACCCACTCCCTACTAAGAATGTAGATGTAGATCGAGAACTAAATTATATTGGTTAGTCTCTCGAATGTGACATTAGTTATCAACGAAGAAAGTAGAATTGGCGAGCTGAGTTCAAATTCTAGTCTAGTTTATTACGTCCGATTTTGTGCTAATGTCCTTGAAAAAGGTATGAAGGTTAAATGGCAGGGCGACTTGGTTGGATGCCGACAAATCTAAGAGAAAGAGAGAAAAAAGGATTAATTCAAACCGGGAATCCGTTCTAATATATTTTCCAAAAAGGGGTGCCAATTCGCATATCATAAAAAAATGGAACGTGTCGAGAGCCATATTCGTCTACGTTTTTAATGGAGATCGAATTAAAAAAAAAAAAAAAATTCTCGGAAAAGTAAAACGCGAACGAGACTTTAATTTGTCTAAAATTCTACCAAATTTACAAGAATCCATTCATTTTCCTTTACATCAAAACTGATTCTCTCTCTCTTTTCTCTTCCTCTTTTACTCCTCTCTGACATAACTTTTCTCTTTATTTCTCTCTTCCGCTGGTTTTTCTTTTAGGATTACTCTGTCTTTATCTCTATATCGACCTTCATTTCTTTCTTTTTCCTTCTTGCTCTGTCTCCTTTCATTTATCTTTCTCTGTCTCTCCACTGTTTTCTCTCTCTCTTTATCTCTTCCTCTTTCTCTCTCTATTCTCTTTCTCTCTATTCTCTTTCTTTCTATTTCTATCTCTCTCTCACCCCTACTCTGTTTTTCTCTCTATCTTTTTTTCTATCCCATTTTCTCGTTCTTTTTTCCTTTCATTTCTTTCTCTATCTCTGCCCCGTTCTTAGTTTTACTCTTTACCTCGTCGCCTTCGGCTTTTTCTCTGTCTTATTTTGTCTGTATCGCTATTCCATTCTTCTCTCATTTTTTTTTTCTATCTATCCCCTCCTTCCACTGTTTTATTCTCTCTCTCTCTCTCTCTCTCTCTGTTTTTTAAACTCTCTTCCTTCCTTTTTCTCTGTCACTTTTCAACCTTAATCACCATCCTCATTTGTTGTCTCTCCTTCTCTTTTTCTCTCTTTTTAGTTTCTTCTATCTCTCTCTCTCTCTTTCTCTCTCTTTCCATATTTCACTCTCTTTCTCTCTATATATTTTAATAAATAAGGAATTTGGGATATTCGGAAAGATAAATTATTGTAAAGTTCGTTAATACATTTTTAATTAATTTTGCCGCAAACGGCCAGAGTTAGATGCAGGACAAAAGAAACAGTCTATTTTAATTACAAAGATGACTGACCAATTTCAAATCTTTTGAATGTACGTACCTTCAGAGAATCCAAAGCTACACGTGAAATAAGCATTCGTGAAAAGTAAATTAAATACACAATTTGTGATGAATAACTGCCAATGTAATAAATCCCATGTAATGAAAGTCGTATTGAAAAAAAGTGATGTTGTTTTATCAAATCTCAAACGAGATTTCAATAAATTTGTTTTTCTCGAAATAACAATACAAAGTGAGTTAATCTCGTCTGCTTTGGGAGAGATGGGTTGAAGTGGGGCGAAGGGGTGTTATTGAAGGTTAATATAATACGTGTTAAGACCAAATTGACATTTACATTTCAGTTATCCTTGGTTGAGTGAAGAACGAATTAGAATGTGATGGAAGTTAGCCCACTTGTTATTAATAGATTGTGTCATTTTTAAAGGATTTCTAATCTTGACAATTTATTGGCTTACAGCCATATCACGTTGAAATACCGATTGTCGTACGATGGCCGAAGTTAAGCAACCTCAAAAACCTGATCAGTGCCGTAATTGGTGGCCTCTTGGGAATACCAGGTGAGGGTGGTGTAATGTATAACGACTCGGAATTGGAAATCGGAGAATCGTGTTCCAATTTCAGTCGGTTTCGTTGCATTCATTTACACCTAGATACCTTTCAGACAGTTATGTGCCATGTGTGATACACGCTTAGGCGATCATGTATCTTACGATACATGACTGACGAAGCAGATTTTTTCCTGCAGTAGGTTGCCATTTCTTTCTACGGTAAACCACTTACCATTCTATGTTATTGAATCGGGTCTGTCTTGCTATTTATCCATACCTGAGATGTCAGGGGTAGAGAATGAGAGCATTCATACCTTTCCCAAGAGTATTAGCACGTAAGTGAATGTAAAGGATTCGACTGAAATTCGAACTCGGCTCGGAAAGGTATGAATCCACATCTTCTTCTCCAGATATGGTTTAATTAGCGGGACTTGAATATATATGACATTATTATTGGCAGAACCAATTTTTAAATATAAAAAATATCTTTTGGCTAGAAATAACCTGTAAAAGGTTGATAATCCGTAAAAATATATCAACAAATCAATCAATGAATGACAATTTATTAGGGTTTGCTTAGTTTGGTAACAGAAAATATTTGGTAAAAACATAGATCTTTTTTACTAAAGCTCATTCAAAAGCAAGGTTTAAGAGCCACTCATAGTAGAGTATTAATTAGGTGTGTAATATGAACGTAGGTGGTGACAGAAGGACGAGAAGATTATAAATATAGGGAGGATAGATAACGATTGACCCTTGACTTCGAGCGGTTAAATATGTAGTGTTCAAAGAAGTGTCTACAACTGCTTGAGTGGAACGTTCTATATTCAATTGAGATGTGTTGAAGATGTGATTGACTAGTTTCCTAGAACGGAGAAATGAAGGTCCTCGCTGTAAAGGTCCTAACTGGTGGAATTAACGGTTGAGCTCATCTGAACGTTTGCTATGGAATTAGCGATAGACTAGCGGTAGGATTGCAACGTTGTACATGTGAGAAAGGAAGTCAACACCTATAAGACTGCATAGACGAATTTTGAACCCTGCTAAAGTTGAGGCAGATTGAGCATCTCCAACCGAGAGATGTGTTACTTTCATGGTAATTGTTTGGATGAACGCATCGCTATGTAAACCTAGACATTTTTTTAATTTAAGCGCAGTGCTAGACTGGCGTCGAGATCTCATCAATTGAGCTGGCTAGATGTAGTCGTAAGTTCTATGCTAACAAGTTTCTTTTCTCGCTTGTGGAACTCTCTTCCGGCTCCATGCTTTCCAGCCAAGTTTAATCTGCAAAAAAATTAAATGCAAAGTTAATCGCTATCTACTGTTCTCCTGATTATTGTTTCCTCTTCACCCTCTTTATTAATGTTTCTGTTCCTAATTCTTCCACACCCTGTAAATCCTTGTTGCCTTGCTGGCTTACATGGGTTGAAACTGATTAAAAAAAAGCTGTAGAAATTTCAACCGAAATTTCCATTTTCCTCCCATTAGTACCAAATCTCATTGGTTTGTCTGGCAATAAGTACCTTAAGCTACGCGTCATTTAAAAAAAAATACAGTAAGGTTGACCCTGTACAACGCCCTTTTCACTCGAGGCAGACGCTTACGATAAGGAGTAGTTTATATGAATATGCTGGGAAGATAACGGTTAACTCTAGACTTTAAACATCGTCTAGGGAGTCTGTTCCATAGTGCAGTGCTTCGCGGGAAAAAGCTGTTTGAGTGGAACTTACTTCTGGACGATGGCATAGCATCAGACATTCTAATGGGGGGAATGTTGCCTGTGGTGATTAATAGAGAGCAGTTTTGTTTTTGAGGCGTTAAAGTTAACTAGCTAATTCCTGCCCCAGTTCACAATCGATTGGAGGTTCTTTTCGAGACGAACGACCAGGTTAGTTTTGTCAGCGACACTAGATTTGTTTTTGAGGCAGGAGTAAATTGTAGTGTCGTCCGCGTAGATGCCCACCTGGGAATCAATGGCGTCAGGATGATCATATTAGAAGAAATTCGCGTGGAGAAAAGGTGGACATCAGCAGTGAAATTAAGGAAGATTTTCCTGTCTTGAAAATCAGTATTTAAAACCTGTTCATTTAAATAAATTCGGAAACAGACCTCTGGCATTTACAAGTAAACTTCTCGTTGAATCTGTAACTAAACATTTCCAATTTTATTATAAATACGAGATTTCATCTTTTATTAAACATGCCATTTCAAGAAGTGGTTCTCCACGCCCTCTACTCTTTCCCGCCTTTTCTTGTTCTGGTACTTTTACTCGGCGCGTTTTTGTCCATGCTCTGCCATTCATTCACACAATTTTGTCAAAAAAGTTAATTATCTCTGGAACTTAATTATTTGGAAGATTGGCTGAAGTGTGAATTTTCTATTTTTTTTATTTACTAATGTTTACCCTATACAATGTCCAAGATCCACTCAAGGTAGAGTCTTACTGAAGGCCGAGGTTGTGTGAGCGGCAAGTATAAGGGCGCAGTTAGTCCGGAAAGGATTAACGGTTAACTGCAAAGATTAAGTATTACTGATTTTTGTATCCAGAAACTCCCTCAGTTCACACACACACACACACACACACACACACACACACACACACACACACACACACATATATATATATATATATATATATATATATATATATATATATATATATATATATAACTATACTCTGTTTCGAAAAAACCTTCGAATTTTTCATTTGCCAATAATCAAATCAATCCTGAGGAAAAAAAAAGGTTTTAAAAAAGAAAGAGCTAGAAACATGAAAGTCTGTCGAAAAAATCGCACAGATACAGGTTCAAAGCCCCAAAAAAATCTCCGACGCGAGTAAACAACTAACTAAAAAAAGAGCTCTACAACCGTAGAGCAGACCTAGAATAAACCTAGTGAGCCAGACAAACCTACCCAGGTTTCACCAAAGCAGTCCGCTTAGGTGAAACCTGTAAGTTTGTCTGGCTCACTAGGTTTATATATATATATATATATATATATATATATATATATATAGTTGTAATTAAGCAGCAATCCTTCGTTTATG